AGGGGGCGCCATCTTCTCCCTCGTGGCTGTGGGAAAGGGCCGCTGCTTGGCATCGCCGGTCGGGGAAACCGAGGGAGAGGGATCGGCGCAAGACCCGTTCTGCAGTTGCTGGTCGTCCAGGTAATCCAGATACTTGCCCCGCAGGGCCGGGGGGTGGCGACACTGCACAAAGACGGTGAGAAGCCGGCCTTGCGAGTGCCAGTTGCCCATCCAGCGCTTCAAGCCCCGCAGCCGGCAGTCGCAGGTCCAGCCGTTGCCGTCTAGGTCCAGCCGGTAGAGGGCCGGGCTGGCGGCAAAGATGTCCCCCGAGAGGGCGCTGAGCGCGTTGTCGCGTAGGCTGAGTTCTCGCAGCCGGCCCAGGTGGGCAAAGGTAGTGGGGTGCAGGGCGGACAGCTCGTTGCCACTCAGGTCCAGCGCCTCCAGGCTGTGCAGAGGTTCCAGCAGCGCCGCGGGCAGCTGGCTCAACCGATTGCTCTCCAGGCGTAGCTCCCGCAGGGCCCCCAGCCCCCAAAAGGCCTCTGGTGCGAGGTTCGAGAGCTGGTTGCCCCTGAGGGAGAGCAGGCCGAGGCGGGGCAGGTGCTGGAAGACGCGGGGCCCCAGGTGCTGCAGGCTGTTGGCCGAGAGGATGAGGGTGGAGAGGGAGCGCAGCGGGGCGAAGGTGGCCGCATGGCGCAGCGAGGGCTGCAGCTCGTTGGCAGAGAGGTTGAGAAAGCGCAGCTTGCCCAGCTGGGCGAAGGCGTTCTTGCCCAGAAAGCGGATCCGGTTGGACTCCAGATGTAGGTAGAGCAAGTTGCCCAAAGGGGCGAAGACCGCGTCCGGCAGCGCCCCCAGGGCGTTCCCGTCCAGCCGCAGCTTGACCAGACTCTCCAGGCCCTCGAAGGAGCCTCGACTCAGGCGGCTGATCTCGTTCCCGTTGGCGTAGAGGATGCGCAGTTTGCGCAGCGGGGCCAGTGTGCCCGGGGCGAGCGCCTGCAGGAGATTGTTCCCCAGGTAGAGCTCCTCCAGTCGCGAGAGCTTTTCGAACGTCTTGGGGTGCAGAGAGCGGATCTGGTTGTACTGCAGGTCCAGCCGTCTGAGCTGCCCCAGGCGGTGGAAGTCGAAGGCCGTGATGTTGGTTATGAAGTTGCCGCCTAGGCTGTAGGTGAGCACGTCCTGCGGGCTTGGCAGCGAGCTGGTCTTGGGCACGGCGCGGAGCCCCCTGTT